CCCCCGGCGGGGGGGGAGGGCGCGCGGGCCTGGCGGGGAGCGGGGAAGATCGTGTGACAGCGGGAGAAAAGAAAATAAAGCGCCCCTGGCGGGCCGGTTCCACAAGTCAGCCACAAAAGGCGCTTTACGTGGGGCTGGAAGAATATCCCATTATTTATTTCCCATTACCCTCGCCCCTTCATTGCCAGGGGAGCCAGAGGGCGGGGGGCAGCCCTGGCGAGTCGTCACCCAACCGGCACAGACCCGTGGGGCGAGGGTGAGGGGAACCTGGGTGGGCGCAGGGGTCCGGCCATCGGATACGCGAGTGCCGGGGCGGCACATGTGTTCCGCGCGGGCGATTGTTGCTGCAAGAATCCGTCCCCCCCCGTCCCGCCCGTTGCCTGCGGCCACTCCGCCGCTGGAATAGCCACGCGCCGAAGGCCTTTTCCTGTCGCAGGGCACGACCCCTGTGACTCATGCGCTGGTCAATTGTCTTCCTTTCGCTGGTGGCTCTCTCTGCCGTGTGGTAGACACACGCCGCCTGGGCCCTGATACACACCTTGCCCCGGCTGATCGGTGCCGGGCCTCCTGCCATTTCGCTGCCGGCAGTCTCCGGGCCCCGGACCCCGGGGCCAGCGTGCTCGCCCCTCCCCGCCCAGGAAAGGCGGGGCATCCATGGGCAACATGCGCCGGCGGATCCCCCCCCCCCCCAACGAGCAACGGCTGGCTACCCGACCTTCAGAGGCGGAGGGGGCCGGGGGGAGCCCACCCGCGCCGAAAGCACCGGAACGGCAGGCCGCTCACTTCGGTCCCACTCAGGAATGTGCTGCCCAGGGCCGTCACCCGCCCCGCCCCCCGATGCCCCTGGGCCGGGGGTCGAATGCCCCCTAGCCATCAGGACCTCGGCCAGGACCCCGCCTCGCCCACTAGCGTCGCCGGCGCTTGGCAGGGGGGAGGCCCGCATGTCGCCATCAGGGGTTCCCCCCCTCCGCACTTCGGCGAGCAGGCACGCCCTCTCGGGGGGGGGGGAGGCCTTCCTCCTCCCGGGACACGCGCATACATACACATATCTGCGAGATGGTGGAAGAATGGAGGGCGGCATGTGCGTTTGCAGGCGGGTTTTTATATTTGGCTGATCTTCGCCCGCTTTTGGCCAGGCCAGCGCACTGAATTAAGAGCCCAATTAAATCGAGGGCCCAGGGACAAAAGAGAATGGAGCAATGGAGGATTGAACTCCAGACCCCCCGCATGCGAAGCGGGTGCTCTACCACTGAGCTATTACCCCGAGTACATGG